ATACAGATTTCGGATTTTAACACTCTTCAACTATCCCACTTCCTTTTTAAACCACAAACAAAAATGGAAAAAACAAGAAGAAAAAATTGAAACTGCAAGGAATTGAAGGTTTAAAATTATCTCCATGTGCCTATGGCTTTATGTTATTAATAGTTCCGGAGCTGATTCCATATGTTCATTGCAGAAATGAGGCATGATTCCCATTTCCATTTTTAATTTTCACAGGCTATCTTTTCTGAAATCTATTAGGGCATAAGATTGCGTTGTTGCCTACTGGATTTTCTTACCCATCTCAGTCAAGTTTGAGTAGAATTCATGCATCTGCCCTATATATATGAGGTTGTTCATTTTTGAGTTTTTTCTTTGTCCATGCTGGTAACAATTGCACGGTGTTTGTTTGCTACTGTTATTGGGATCAAAAGAAAAATGCAAATACTAATTTTACCCATCTCAGTCAAGTTTGAGTAGAATTCATGCATCTGCCCTATATATATGAGGTTGTTCATTTTTGAGTTTTTTCTTTGTCCATGCTGGTAACAATTGCACGGTGTTTGTTTGCTACTGTTATTGGGATCAAAAGAAAAATGCAAATACTAATTTTTGTTCTGGTACACTCTTTGACTTTGAGTCTTAGTAATATTCACTTGAGTGGCCATTTTTGCCCTTTTATGCGTTCAAAAGGCAACAAAGAAGTCTATAGACATAGAGACGAACAATTTATGGGAAGTGCGTAGCTTCCAGCATATTAGATTGTGATTTCATATACTTTCATAGGCCTGGGAAGAATCCTCTGGTGAAAGCCTTCTGCAGATTCAGCTTTTGGCAGCACTCAGGAACTTTGTAGTTGCACTTGGTTATCAATCACCTATCTGTTACAACATTGTAGTCCCCATTTTACAGAGTGGGATCCATGTAGATAGCCCTGATGAACTTTTGGAAGACACCATGCAGGTATGTCATATTCACATCCAACTTCACGACTGATCCTAATCAGTTGTAAGGCTTACCATTTTTTTCTTTTTGCCCCCTTCAATCTCACTGGCATGCAGCTGTGGGAAGCCACTCTTTCTCATGCCCCCTCAATAATGCCTCAGCTATTAAGCCATTTCCCATGTCTGGTGGAAATCTTGGAAAGAAGCTTTGATCACTTAAAGGTTTGGAGTTACTCTTCAGCAGTTACTTTTTTTTGGAAGGTTACATTTGCTTGACATTTGATATGACATGCAGATGGCTGCCAGCATCATTGAAAGCTACATAATTTTGGGTGGAATTGAATTTCTCAATATGCACGCATCTACTCTTGCAAAACTTCTAGATTTGGTTGTTGGTAGTGTCAATGATAGGGGGTTGCTTTCAATTCTTCCGCTTGTGGATACTTTAGTTCAGGTAGTGGATTAATCCAACTCACTGCTATATATATATTTAAGTTATATTGATAGAGCACTATGATATTAAAGGGAGCAAATCATTTTTCACATTCGAGTAAATTTTTCATTTGCATATTGCATTTTAAATTAGAAGAGGATCAAGCTAGTCGGATCTGATTTTCGTAATGTTGTCGCCGTTATCAAGTAACATTGGTATATAATCGACTTTGCAACTGAATTGATCTGACTAATTAGGGTTTTATTAATAGTAATGCATTATTGAAGGAAGCAAAACCAGTTTCTACAAGTTCGAATAGCATGTGAATTTATGGATTGTGTTTTAAAATTGAGAAAGCTTGTCTTGATCTGATTTTAAAGTGGTTTGACCTTTACGAACAGTGGCTTTAGTACTTATTAGATGACTATAGGGATAGCAAAAAAGCTCGCTGGCTCGGGCTCGGCTCGGGCCGAGCCTCCTTTTTTTGGCCGGGCTTTGCTGGCTCTGCTTGCCTGAGCTTTTTTATTTAATTTATAGTACGTATAAACCGTACAAATTTTAAATTTTTTAAATAAAAATGTAGATTTGATATTAAAAAAAAACCCGAAAGGGGCGGCCCGCTAAGGCTCAGGCCGAGCCTCATTTTTTTGGCCGAGCTTAGCTCAGCTAGGGCCCAAAAAAGGTCGGGCTGGTCAAAAAAAGCTCGAGCCGAGCCCGAGCTTTTTTTTTGGGCTTGGGCTCGGCTCAGCTCGGCTCGTTGACATAGCTAGATGACTATAATATATGCTGCTGCAGCTGAATCTGGACTCTTAAGAAGTGGAATGCCATCTTGTTTTAGATTTGACTTTGAATGAGATGCAATTGCAGATGATAATGAATTTTGAGTAAATAATATCCATCTGCTTTTGCAATCTGGCAGTGTTTCCCGACTGAGGTGCCCCAGTTAATTAGCACAATTATACAGGTAATTGGGTTTCTTTGCTTTAGATTTGATAGTTTTTCTAGCTGCATCCTTTGGTTTCCCTATTTTCTCTATCCTCCATTCTAGATAGATTCATTGAGTTCAAATTTTGCAATATCTTGCTAGAAATTACTCGTCATATGCTTGACTGGAGGAGATGATCATGATCCTTCTAAAACAGCTGTTAAAGCATCTTCAGCAGCCATACTAGCAAGGGTTTTAGTCATGAACACTAATTACCTTGCGCAACTGACGTCAGAACCATCACTTTTAGCACTCTTACAGAAAGCTGGATTCCCAAGTGAAGAAAGCATACTTCTTTGCCTGGTAGATGTATGGCTTGACAAGGTTAGAATTTCTGTCTTTGTATTAGTTGTGAAGTAATTTAAATGCTCTCCCTTTTCATCTTGGAAAAAATATGGTGTGTAATGATACATGCACGGATTACCACTTCAAATTTTCTCTTTCTGAATTCTGGGCATCTTGATAATTACATATTAAGTCATTGGTGTTACATTAGCAATCTATCATTAACAGGTACAGCCACATGCAGATTCCCCAGCCTATGCTTTTGTTTGGATTTGCGTAATCCTCGCTTATTGCCATGTTATTAGATGTACATGAAAGTTTTTTCACGCTTGTGTTTGTCCTCTCTATTTACTCTTTTTGAACACACTTTCTTGAGGTGCAAAAGGATGTTTTCTTGACCCCGGAGTTATACACGCTTTAGATAGGTGCTCGAAACGTCGGAGCCTCGGAGGTATAAAAATGTGTTGGGGTAAAAGCTTAAAATTTAGTTATACATATATCTGCCAACAGCCTTATCATATGACCATTTTTCCTAAAACCTTAATGCTGTCATGCCATATGATGTCTTGGAAATGTGGGATTGATTTGTGGAGTACAATGCATTGTTGTTCCTACAGCTCCTCTGGGTGGTATTTCACCAATATCCTTTATCAATTTGTTGTATTCTGAATATGCAATATGCGTCGCTGTGATTTTGCATTTCTCATTGAGCCTGATATGGATTCAGTTTCAGTGTTTGCTCCCTTTTTTCCTCTGTAATATACATTTCTAGGTGGACCTTTCTTCTTACAATTCCCCCCCGTGAAATGGGTGCAGGTTGATAATGTAATTTCCACCCAGAGGAAGACACTTGGTTTAGCTCTTTCTATAATTTTAACTTTGAGATTGCCTCAAGTGCTTGATAAACTTGATCAGATCTTAAGGTACTTTTTCAAATTTGTTGATAATATCATGTGCTATTCTAGCAGCAGTGGTTTATTCCTTGATGTGATGTTTCTGTATTTCTTTGTAGCGTATGCACAAGTGTGATATTGGGTGGAAGTGAGGACTTAACTGAAGAAGAATCAAGGTTTGATATATATCATTGTCCTTGTCCTAGTATGATTGTTCACGTTGACAGATCCTATAATATTGTTTTCTGATTGCAATTCAAATTTACTTGTGGATTACAGTAGTGATAAAATGTACTCCAGTGGCTCACAAGTTCCTAGCAAAGAGTTGAGGAGGAGACAGGTATACTGCTGCTGTATTTCATGGAATCACGAATAGTTGGTCTGATGATTTTTTACTTATTTACTCTTTAAATTTGCAGATTAAATTCTCTGACCCGATAAACCAGATTTCCTTGGAGAACTCAGTGAGGGAAAATCTCCGAACATGTGCTGCTCTTCATGGGGAACCATTTAATGCTGCCATTTCTAGAATGCATCCTGCGGCATTTGGGCAATTGAAGCAGGCACTAAAAATGCCATAGGCTAGAGTCATGTGTACAATGGAGAGAGAAATTTTATTTATTTGCTTGCACGTGAGCCAGTGAAAAGGGAAGGAATATGGGTAAGTTGCTGAATCCTAAAATAGCTACTTCATTCCATTGGAGGGAATGAAATTTAGAGGTGGGGGTTCTGATTTTTATCATCTATAAAAAGTGAGATATGTTAGAAATAAAATTAATTCTGAAAATCGTGTTTGGCGAAATAAGTAACGCAAACGTAAATTTGACTTACTTTATAGCATAGCCAAACATGTTCTAAAGCATTGAACAATCTTTTGATGGCAAAATCAGGTTATATGTGATTATTTTTAAAATTTAGAAAGGCTCCACACTTTAGTCACAATTTCACTTTAAGCATGCAGGTGTGGGTGCAATAGCAAGTGACCTATATCGTCCAAGGATAAAACCTAAGGTATAGGAGTCGCATATTTATTTGTAAATATGATAACAAGGTGAGTAGATTTTAGAATAGACATGCAGTAATACATGTAGAGAACTTAAAAAGCTAACTCATTAGACCGGCATCATCTGAGTACTAATCTAAGTATTTGAGTAACTGAGTAACGAAAGACCAGTGTATTTAGAGTTCCCTGTTGATGTTAAGGAGCAAATCAAATGGGAAAAACCTTTATGAATAGTGTCTACACAAAAGTAATCACTTGCCTCGTCTAGTCGTTAGAGTTCAACATGCTGCCCATGGCTTAACATGCAAGGCTTTGAATGTGGGAGTTGGCATTTTAGTCAGCCCTTTGTTATAATTCTGCTCAGGTTGGAACTATAGTTGGGGAGTTCTTGAGTTGCTGTTGCGATTACTGTCAGTGTGTGAACTGTGTGGATACACCCAATAGACATGGGTTTGCTTATAAATGTTTGTCCGCAAACAATTGAACTGACACAAATTTCCCTCTTTTTGTAGGTTATACTGCAGCTTCTTTGACTTGCGGCTGGTGCTTCACACATTCTTTGATTTTCTTGAAACTCCATTGTTTTGGCCAGTCTTGTTTTCATTTGTTGGGCAATATATTTTGCGTTTTTTTCCTTTCTTTTCAAAAAAATTTTCCAGCACAACCAACATTGTAAATAGTGCAGCCCCTTCATGGCATAGTTTTTTTAGGCAGAAGGGTGATAGTTTTGTGCATTTCAGGTTATGCTCGATGTTGGCGATCTTACCAAAATAGGAATGAGAACTGTGTACAATATTCGCTTTCTGTTGATATGCGGGGAAATTAGTTTCTGATTTGAGATTGAGAATACATGAACATTTGTGACGTGTTCAATGAGATGGATTGGTCAATTTTGAAGATAAAATTCAGCCATGTTACGCGCCTACGAGATCTTTCTTAACGCTACATCACTAATTAGTAATTGCTAGGTCTACATGCTACGATTGAACACAGCTGCTTCTGTAACAGTTCATTAATGTCATATTTTCTATATTTCCTTTCTGGTAGATGGGGTAAAAAATGTACACAATGAAAACGAATGATGGCTTCTAAGAGAAGCTACTCCAGCTGGATCTCATAATTCATAGTGTTTTTTGTCAACTCTTTCATGCATAATGTGGACACCAACGTTGTTGTGTCTTAGCTTGAGATGGAGCGAAGTTCCCATTTACTGACTGTTTAGTATGTCCAAGTACCGCCCGCAAGACCTTCATGGTAATCTTTTTAATTAAATATACAGATATAAAATCCATAATCTAAATCAATCACTTCATGATTATTAAAATGCAATTTTATGCAATTGAATTTTACGAGTTGAAGATTCTATTAGCGCATAACTAAAAGTCTCATAACCAACGTCTGCGTAATTTTTTTTTTATATATATATTTTTCACGTACTAAAACATGTTCATTTTTTTAGATGAAATCTCAAAGGTAATTTAGTAAATAGTCTAAACTTCTTTGGGAAAAATTCTAATAGAATTATAATGAAAATCAGCAGCAAAATATGTGTATAATAAGTGGATGATGATTATGAATATGATATTAAAATTTAATGCTTCAATTGGCTCCAAATTATAAGGAACTTGTAACTTTTCTGAATAATGATTTTTTGTTCAAAATTTGGCGACTTCCCGTGTTATTTAGGAGGTAGGGCTTCCAATTTGACGCACTCGGATCTTTATAGTGAGATGGGTTATAAGAAGCCAGTCTTAGGCCTATGTGGGGTTGAGAATTATTGCTAGTATTTCAAGATTTGTTCAAGTTTTTTATTTAGAATTATTTCGAGACAAATTAAATTTTAAATTGAATATAGTTATTAAGTTTATAAACTTTGTAGTCTCTAATATTAATAGATTAATTAATTAATTAAAAATCATTTTGTAAGATAGTATTAAATAATGAACAATTCGATTTTGAAACACATTTACAATATGAATGTTAACCGGTTAGTGTAACTAGTATTTATTTACATCCTCAGACGAAAAACATAATTTTATCATCCAAAATGTTACAAAATTTTCCACTCGTGCATGTTACATAGATTTGTACGTGACTGAGTTTTCACGTGTATATATAGATTTTAAAATATATATGTTAAGTATTATTTTCTAAGTTCAATTACTGAATATATTTAATTACTATTGAATTTATTATTACTGGGTCGAAATTAATCAATACGATTAAAGGAACAATTCATCTATTTTCACACATTTGTCATCTATTTTCACCGTCATAGCGATCGTCGGCCTATCAACACCACTTGTAACACTAATTGTTACACTACTACCTCTGACCCCATCACTTATAACATTTAGAGCCTCTTTGAGCCCAATTTTTTTTGCCCAAAATGCATTTTGCAATAGTATTTTAATGGAGAATATATGATTAAAAAATAAGAAAAAATTTTAAATTTACATGTAATATTATTTTATTGAAATATGTGTGATTGAAAATAAAAGAGAAAAAATATATTTTGAAAATAATGGGGATCAAACAAAGTTTATTATTACATCATTGTCATTATTGTCGTCACCCCTTGTAATATTTTTTGTGACACATTTTCGCTACAGTTGCCATAAACACAATTGTATCACCATCAAAACCACTACCAACACCATCATCGCCTTTACTCACACAATCAGAAAAATGGAAGAATGAGATTGATCCACCATCACCACCTTCATTCACACTATTACTATTGATTCCAATCCCCAACATCAAACTCGAGACACCAGATCTGCGCCCCCATCTCGCTGTTACTTTTCCTTACCACCACCACCACCACCACAATCATCTACGAAACAAACTCATGAAACAACTGAAAAGGGGAGTGAAAGATTCATCACCACAACCACCACCTTCACACACAACATAGGTAGTTGGTCCAAGCCTAAAATTTTCATCTTGTCAAGACTCATCTCAACGCCAAATGGCACATATTCCAGTCCAATTCATTAGATCAAAGTCGAAAATCTTAAAGCACCCAACTCATAATTGGTGAATTCATAGGTTCAATTTCTATTGAATGCACGCCAATGGGACCTCAAACGAGTCTATTGAAATTGGCTCTGTGTCAATGGAATCTCATCTATACATAACAAGCCACCCAACTCGGCAGGTCAGGTGTGGGTAGACCACAGGTTCGAATCCTGCCACATTTCTTGTGTCACACTGTGATTATCGGATAATATGAATAAAAAAGCAAAAATTTTAAATTGAGCACAAAATGTCAATAAATGAATTGTTTCATTATTCAATATTTTCCAGTCTTTTCATTGCATTCACTTACAACAAGAAACAACCACCAGTGTTTGGTGCAACACACGGTTGATGGGATTAACAAAGCAGAAATTTGGAAATGAGCACGATATGTCAATATATGAATTGTTTCATTATTCGTTATTTCCGTGTCTTTTCGTTGCAGTCACTTACAACAAGAAACAACCACCAATGTTTGGTGCAACACCCTATCGATCTTTCTTTTGTATGTGTATAAATAAAGAGACAAATTTTGAGACGCATTGAGTTTTATAGTAATATTAGGGATACTTCTTATGTTTAAAAAATTATCATAAGCTCCCCTATTCCTAATTTTGAATATCATATGCACTCCTGATTGCTTTTTGAGCCAAATGAGATTGGTATACTTAAAATTCCCTTGTAAAGGAAAAGATTAAATATGTTACAATTAGTTATAGTTAAATTGCCCAAAGTGATTTATAATAATATAAATTGACACTATACACCGAGCTCGTTCGACATAATTTAAATTTTAACCATATAAATTTACTTATTTTATTCATAAGTAATATTATATTTTCCAAATATATATTTTTTAGATGAAATATATATATCAAATGATCAAAAAAGATATTACGTTATTATATTGCCATATCATAATCAAATAGATTTTGAAGGTGTATATCATTTCAATGAGTTAACTCTTACTATTCTTTAGCTTACTCGAATGGTAAAAATTACATGTTTATATTTAACGCCTCGTTTTAATTTATAGATCGTACATCAATGATAAATTTTCATTTGTTAATATTTAAATTATATATGCATGATATATATAATCAATTAAAAAAAAGTTCAAATTATTTACCACCAAATTCTTCATTAGGTTTAATTTTTCACTCGCATGTCCCCTCTACCTTAAAAGAATCTATCCTTTTTTCACTGTTCAATTTTGCACTCATGTTCACACTTAACCAGTTTGAAGTTTGCTTCTCTGGATACTTAATCGATTGAGTAATGCTATTCATCTCCATTGCGGATGAAAACACAGTCTACGTGGCGTCAATGTGACATTAAATGATAGGTGAAATTAAATAAGTCATTTAATTTTACATTTCATTTAACCTATCATTTAAAATCACATAGACTGTGTTTTCATCCCCACTGGGAATGAATAACATTAAGAATTTGCTTCTCTGGATACTTAATCGATTGAGTAATGCTATTCATCTCCATTGCGGATGAAAACACAGTCTACGTGGCGTCAATGTGACATTAAATGATAGGTGAAATTAA